CCTTAATGCTAGACCCTTAATGCTAGACCCTTAATGCTAGACCCTTAATGCTAGACCCTTAATGCTAGACCCTTAATGCTAGATCCTTAATGCTAGATCCTTAATGCTAGATCCTTAATGCTAGATCCTTAATGCTAGACCCTTAATGCTAGACCCTTAATGCTAGATCCTTAATGCTAGATCCTTAATGCTAGACCCTTAATGCTAGATATGCAACAAATGTTTGGCAGTCTGTGAATTCCTGCTAATGTTAATAATTAATAGACTTTTAGGATAGAAATGCAGCAGCAGTCCGTTTAACCAGGAGGTAGTGGTTCACAGAAACACCAAAGAAACCAAAAGATGTTGATTAAAGCTTCATAAAAGACTTCCTGACTTTTATTTCAACAAAGTCAGATTAAAAAATTAGAATCAGCAGATCTATCTGCAGTTCTGTGCTACAGGAAGTCATGTCTGTGTCTTTTAGCTGAGGTGAGCGCCGTGCTGAAGCTGGATAACACGGTGGTGGGACAGACGGCTTGGAGGACGGTGGGAGAGCAGGCCTGGGACCAGACCTTCACCGTGGAGCTGGAACGGGTTAGTATACCCCCCCACCCCCCCAGAGTAAATGCATCGTAAAAACGAAGGAAACGACCGTGTGTGTTTCAGTCCAGAGAGCTGGAGATCGCAGTTTACTGGAAGGATTATCGCTCGCTGTGCGCCCTGAAGTACCTGAAGCTGGAGGAGTTCCTGGACAACCAGAAGCACCGAGTCCAGGTGGAGCTGGAGCCTCAGGGCCTGCTGCTGGCTGAGGTACACCTGGATGAACCTTTATCACAACATCCTGTGCTTCTCCAACGAGCTGATGCAAACACCTGGGCTGTTTCCAGGTGACCTTCTTCAACCCGGTCATCGAGAGAGTTCCTCGCCTCCAGAGACAGAAGAAGGTCTTCTCAAAGCAGCACGGTGGGAAAGAGACACGCTTCTGTTTATGTTTGGCTCCCTCTAGTGGTGAATCAGTTAATGCTCGGGGTTTTCCCACCTCAAAAAATGAACATCTGAGCATCAAACTTTGCAGGGATCTTCAGATAGACTAAAATAATCCATGCCTGTCGAGTCTTTGGATCCTTGGGAAGACTGAAAATGTTCCTCTTCCTCCGGTCAGCCTGGAACGCTGCATTTCCTCCCGTCCTTCTGGTTCATCTTCAATAGAGAAACTTCCTGCTCTGTAATTCTTGTAGAAATAAACCCACCTGTAGGCTGAACAGCTAAACTGCTGTCTGCCATCTTCCTCTATTCATGTTCCTGGGCCCAGTGGGCTGGGATGGATGTTAATTTCAGGGTGTTATAAAAGTCCAGACCAGAACCAAATAAGGCAACATCCCTGAGTTTACATCAACTCTGCGCTTCGTTTGGATTCACTGTTTTATGGTGGAAGTTTAGAATAGTGAGATTTGCAGAGAAAGGAGGAGTTGATGGGGTTTAAATGTCCCTTTCACCCCCTGAACCTTCGTTATTCATCTATGATGATGGTTACGCATTCTGTGACCCATTAAGGTCGACCTCAGTAAAGGGGCGGTGCTTTTTAAAACGCGCTGTAATGAGTTTCAAAGATTCAAAGCGTATAAAGATGCGAAGCTCAGACTCTCCATGCTTGGTCCTCCAGGGAAGGCGTTCCTTCGGGCGCGTCAGATGAACGTGGACATCGGGACGTGGGTGCGGCTGCTCCGGAACGCCATCCCCACGGTGAACAACTCTGGAACCTACAGTCCCAACGCTCACAGCCTGAGTCTGGGCCCCGGGTGAGAGCCGCCGCCGCCCAAACGCCTTCCCTCCATCCTCTATCCTGTCTCTCCCGGTGACCGGGCGTGTCTAAATGCTCCTGTTGTGTTTTGTCTGTCCGTCGCCGTGGCAACGTCTCTGTTCGTGTCAAACTTTCAGGGAGATCTCAGTGGAGAAACTGAGTCTGGACAACGAGTCTCCGATCAGAGGAGACTACCGGAGAGAGACGGACACTGTGACTCCACTGAGGCAGACAGAGAGGGAGGACAGTCGGGATGTGGGGGAGGTGTGTCATCAGGGATCATTTTAACTTTTATTCTCATTTAAAAGGAAGAAATATTCATTTGAAATGTCAGAATAAGATGGACGCATATTTTAAGGTCAGAGAAAGCAGCACAGATGTTTTCCTCCCAGCCTCGTCTTCCTCACCCCTTCCTCACCCCTTCCTCACCCCTTCCTCACCCTGTTTCCTCATGTCTGCCTCCTACCGTTCTCTGAAAGGACCCCCCAGCGGACATCGAGTCCCTCTCTCCTCTGGTCCCCGAGTCCCCTGTCCGAACCCCGTCCGCCGGCAGGTACAGACACGGCGTGGGCAGCTTCTATGCTGTTAGTTCTATGGTGTTTTTAAAATGGTCTGTTGATGGTTCCTGTTGTCTTCAGGCAAAGGAAAGGACCGCTGTCCCTGCAGGACTTCAGGCTGATTGCTGTGTTGGGGAGGGGCCACTTTGGGAAGGTAAACCTGGGTTTCTGGTTCTTCCTGCTTCCTTCTGATCAATCAGAGGCCAAATAAATCACATCATAAAAAGATGATTTTATACTTTATCAACGGAATCAGAAGGAATGAAGCTTTATGTCCACCTTGGTTCAAAGTGTTTATCGCTGAGCCGATGCTAGCAGGGCCGCTTCTAGACGGGACGGGGCCCCGTCCTAACCTGAGGCGGGGAAAGCTGGCTCACATTTTCACCGCCATCTTTACCTTCCTAAACAAACCAGTCCAGTTTTTTTTCCTTCCATTCCAGTTAGATGGGAATCATTAAATTCACCAAATGAGGATTTAAAACTTTCAAATTCAGAACAAAAAAAAAAAAAAAATCTTTTGTTTCTCCGTATTTCGGATGGAATCATTTAATCCCAGAAATCAAATAAAAAATTGTTAAAACTTTATTTAATTAATTTAATTCCTATCAGAAGAATTATTGTTGTCGTTAATATAATTCATGCTGTTTAATAAAGACGCTGATTATTAGAGTTTATAGTAGAAATACATAGAAATGATTTTATTGTTCAAATGAGACGCAAAAATAAACTGATCATAAATATGAACGTAGAAAAGCTGAGAACAGAATAATCCTCCTTTTTTAGTGGATGAATAAATCTGTCCATTCTTTACCGACCTTTGAACATAGATATGCTCCTTTTGTTCTAAATCTATGTCTCTATATCACATTATTATTGGGGATGTTCTGATCAGCTGCTGTTCTCTCTCTGAACATCATTATTATTTTTTTATTCTTATAACAT